CTGCATGTGTGCTGGGAACCAAACTGGGGTCCTCTGAAAGAGCAGGAAATGCTCTTAGCCTCTGAGCCATCCCTCCAGCCCTCTGAAAGCCTCTGTTTCAATTTGCCTTTGTCCTTGGTAGTGGAGAGACTAGACAGCTGTAATATGGGGGAATTAGGAACAAGGCCTCTGGAGCCAGATGGATTCTGTGCCAACCTGGGCAAGTTATTCCATGTCTGTGTGACTTAGTGTCATATTCATGAGGTGGCATAACAGTAATGCCTACCTCAGAGTTATTAGGACAGTTAAGGTTTAAATAAGGTGACTCATACTTCATGTACCCAGTGATACCTGGAAAACTGTGTGTATTAAATATTAATTATTGTTTAGGTGGTGGTGTTTCTCCCATGACCAAAGACAGCATTGAAACTTTAAAGGCACAGCACAGTCTTCCTTAGGTTATCTACAGGGGTCCAATTTTGTTTAAGTCAAGACGGGGGTCTCTGTGAGCATATTCCACAGACTTATGGAGCAACTATTGCAAGGGCACTCTGCCGTGTGGGGGTGGGAGGGGTTAAGGAGTGGGATGAGAGAACTCTGACCTTGAGAGACACAAAATTCCAATTTATTTTACTTTATCTCCATCACCCTCTAGGTAGCTCATGTGCTTTAGGTCACTAGGAAGTAATGTATTGACTGTCTGGAAGGAGTCGGGAGCTCTCTTTACCTCTGTCAGATGCAGTAAATAAGGGACTATCATGCCAGTTTGTCTTTTCAGTACCTTTGAGATGTAGAGGACAGGGCAGCAGATAGGAGACTTAGGCAAATGTCAAAGGTTTCCAGAAGTCTACATTTGAGTAAAGATGACTTCACTTTGCTATTTCGTACTGTTTACTGAAAAAGTTTCCAGGAAATGAATGGTCTGAATGACAGAGGAAAACACAGATTTCTCTCTTTTGGGAAGGGAGAGTGTTCAGGCAACGTCTCCTGTCGCGCAGCCTGGCTTCAAACTTGTTATATAACCAAAGATGACCTTTAACTTCTGATCCTCCTGCCTCCACCTCATGTGTTGGTATTATAGATGTGTGGAGCATATTGGGTTTATGTGATGCTGGGGACTGAACTCGGCTACGTGCATGTTAGGCAAGCACCCTACCACCTGAGCTACTTCCCTAGCCCAGATCTTCTCTCCTCTTAGAACCACTGAAGGCCAGAAGGAAAGAAAAGGGGGGAAAGGAGATATGTGTTTCCCTCTGAATCATTCACACGTGCTTTCCATCCCAGTGTTCCCAGTCCTCAACTTTGTAAATGGAGCTCCGGTGTCACGAGAGATCAGGCTGGATGATTGTGACCAGTATCTCCCCTATGCCCTGCCCTGCAAAGTGTGCAAAAACCATCCAGGCAGGTTACATGTGAAATTAACCACCTGACCAGACAAAGTGGGGCAGAACGTTTATTTGGGATGATGTAAAGCCCAATGCAATGGAAGGAATATAGAGCTGGACTTAGTGAGGCCATAGTGTCAGAAAAAATGTGGGTGAGTATGTGCTCTTTCTAAGAGTCACAAACTTCCCTACTTCCCGACTTCTGTGGTAGCACACACCTTTTATTTATCCCAGCACTCTGAGGCAGAGGCAGGCGGATCTCTATGAGATCAAGGCCAGCCTGTTCTACATAGTGAGTTCCAGGCCAGCTCGGACTACAGGGAGACCCTGTCTCAGAAAGACCAAAAATAAATAAAAGTAGCAACAGTAAAGATTTGCAATTAACTTGTGCATATTCCAAGTTTATAATACACAAAGCAGTCGACACACACATGATCTCAAGTGACTTGGTCAGCATCACATG